GGTAAACACGGTTCAAACACTATTTGACTTTGTCATCATATACTCTCTATCAAAATGAAATAAAATTTAAAATCGACGTGGAAGGAAATATCGATCGCAGCGTTTTACCGAAACGTCGATCACTTGCTATTTTAAATATTTCGTTCGGAATAGATAGAGGTTATGATCCATGAATAGCGCGGAGTGCATGATCTTTGCGATCTTCTTCAATATTCAGTTCTATCGCTGCGACATAGTTTTTAGACGCGCGAATTACGTTTAATCGCAAGAGAGAACAAGGACGAATACTTCAGCCGAACTCCGAACGCCGCACACCGTTTTAACTCATGAGAACGTTAAATAACGAATGATTTTGTACTCTATTGGTCGTCGAAAATGTTGTGTTCAGCGTATATGTGGACTACAAAAGTATGACTAAAGATACACGTAGCTATGTAGCTACGTATATGCTCACAAAACGCTCGCTAATTTGAATCTATATTAAGTTTCCTATTTGTTGAATGATTTGATACTAATAATAAGTTAGCTTCAACGAGAGAACAGAGAGAATAAAGAATTCGATGACATTTGGATTGCAAATAATTAGTTTATTATCGTAGAAATAATTATATATTTCAATAAAATAAATAATTAAGACAAGGCTGAGATATGACATAGAAAGATATTAATGATAAAGATATTTGATGATAATAAAAGTTCTATTAAGTACACTAATTAAATACAGATTTGCTTTAAGAATTATAAAGATTATAAACGATAAAAATTACAAGAATGAATGAGAATTGATTAAATTGATGAATTTCTGTTTTATCTACAGAGTAATTCCACCACCGACGATGTACATGAATAGACATTGCACCCTACGGACTTTCATGGCCCGTAACCTGAAATACCGACATACTAAAAAATCACTAGTTTTTTAGCGCACTCTACGTCTAAACAACGGTGAGTTGGGGAACTAGTGAATCCGCCAGCAATAGAATTTTTGAGATCCATTACAGTGTTGTTCAACTTTCAATACCGAAATGTAAAACTCGTCTGTGACTATACCAAGTAAAATGATCAACACAAGCAAATTGTATCTCCAGATTCCAAAACACGCGATTAGTATTTAAAATTATATTATTTTTTATTATGTATTTACGTCTCTGTCGGAAAGCGCTCCATTCGTGTTTTACGTCTGTCGGAAAGCGCTCCATTCATCGATTGGTTTTTTGTCGGAAACGATAAAATTAATACTTACAACAGGATGTTTTATTTATTGAAGTATACTCAGGGACGAGATATATTTAAAGTGGACCTGATATTTAATCAAAAAGTAGACATAGAATAAGTCTATTGCATTTTATCAAATCATATGTTTTGAAATATTCATCAAAATCTAAAGTCTAATAAAGTCTTATACAATATTTAAAAATGCACGTTAAAAATACGTTACACGTCATCATAAAAAAATTCAATCCCTAATTTTAGAAATCTTCAACAATCTCCCTGAACACTCTACAAATCCTTTAATTATATAAAAACTAATCATGATCGTAGCCGATTACTTCATATTGCTTGTTATATAATTCATAACTGCATCGCAGATGTGCAATTAGTAATTGTATCACAAATAACGATTGCTTTGGTCTCACCACGTTGAGGCTGCTACGTACCGAAACCCATTCTTGTCTCATTTTTCATTTACTTTAAAATAAATTTATTCAATTAAAAGAAAAAATGAAACCATTTGATATACGATTGCAAAATGTTCACAATTTCTTACAAAACGAACAGCGGAAGGAGTTTTAAGGTAAAACCAATGAAAAATAAACCAAAGCACAATATATTCAAATACAAATCAGTTAATCTGAAAATAATTATAATTAAGTTATGATATGTAAAATATTTTACATATTTAAAGAAAAAATAAAAATTGTTTCACATATATTATAGCAATAAGCATATAAGCATATATTTAGCATTCTATAAATGGTCTCACAGTGAATTTACAAATATGTACTAATTATCTGATGATCAACAAAAACCAGACGCACGCAATTTAAAGATAAGGCGCACGCATCCCACGATGTCCCTTCGAGATCCTCGTCATCCCACGCTGAGGAGTCTAACACTTTACTTATGAACTAATTGTCACTACAGTTCAGTTTAGATCTAAACTGAACTATAAGTTGCATAGTTCTTAGCTTGACATCGCTTTACAAACATTACAGTTTACCTTACATCGTTTTACAATTTAGCTGG